GCCCGCACAGGGAGCCCACGACGAAAGCCCACTTGAATTTCGAGGTTATAGTCCCGAGCGTTCATTAGTGGCATGAGTTTACTTCTGCGTTGGTTTGGATAAAAGCAGAGAGGGGGTGGGTTTGTATGCTTGGAGGGAAGGATAAAAAAAAACATTCCCCAAGAAGAATGAGAATTATGGGGACAGAGGGCACCTTCGTGTAGGGCTCTGGTCAGTAGTAATGGTACCTGAATAGTCAGTCCGATAAAAAAAAATCCCAATTGTGAATAAACTTCTTAGCTGAAGTTTATAAAGAATACGAGATTATTCTTAAATTAAAAAAAAAATAAGCAACTCCAAAGATAATAGAGAGAAAAACTACTTGAATGTGATAACTGTTAAAAAAAATGTTTTCGAAAAATTACAATAAGAACAAAAATACATTGAGAAAAAGAGTCACTTTCGCCAAGAAATAATTTTTTTGGGAGAAGAATTAATTTTTTTAGGAGTATATTTCTCATACCCAGTCATTCTCCAAACATTACAATTATGTTGAATTATGAGATGATTATGCTACAGATGACCGTGAATGAACACCCCTCATTATTTTTCAATTTGTTCAAATTTGAGATTTTCTTACGTAAAATAATTAGGAATAGTTCTAAATTTTAATAATTGTTATGAGAGTTTTTCTTGATTGTGGTCAAAGTGCTATTACCATTCAATGAATTCTAATATTTAATTTTGAGTTATCGTGGGACAACCAATTTACGAAATTATTGGGAAATTCTAAAAAATAATATATGAATTAAATTCTGATTGATGTCAATCGTTGGGGCTCAACAACATCTGTATTGAAAAATGATTACAGTTCATTCATTCATTAACGAACAATTAAACACATGCATACGGACAGGGTCTAAAAATTGCATTTCCTGACTTTTTGGATCATGCTGGATTCGATTAACACGAAAAATACGAAATTTAAATTCGAATGATTAGGGTAACCTGGCCAATAGGTAGACACCGACCAAAAAAGAGACGATTTCAACTTTTTTTTTAGTATATACTATAAAAAATATAATAGAAATTGTATTAAAAATTACGTGAATTACGATTGTGAGAAAATGTTCTCAAAATCGTAATTCACGTAATTCTGACCGTAATTTATTATCTCAAAAGCATAATTTATCCATTTGAGAAAATCGTAAATTACGTTTGTGAAAACATGAATTACCATTTTAAAAACGCAATGTTCTGGGTGTACGAACCTAGTCCAGAAAACGTGAAATCTGGACGATATGAGCTCTCTAGAATCATTCTGACCCAAGTGTTGATTACACTTTTCACTCTAGTATATACCACCTTCTTTTACCATCGTTTCCCCGATAGTGAAACCGTGGAACAGAAATTTGTTGAGCTCTCTATCAATCGCCATTAAAATTTAATTAAAATTTAATTCATTTATTAATTTCTCAAATTAAAAAAAAACGTTCTGAATTGATTAAATAATGGGTTAAAAAATTCGTTTGGATGTCCCTTTGACTGAGTTCGAAGATGAAGGCGATAGCAGTAATCGTTATTTTGATTTATTTGAATATTTGCAAAAATTCTGTATTTTTTGAGAATCAAAATTTCCAGGATATCTTTGAATATCATTCTTCAAATGAATTCAATTATAGCTTAAAATGTTTGTTTTAATGCCATTAAGTCGAAGTTGAGACGATTACGATAGCTATATTGGCTGATTTGATTTTTATTATGATTAGTGAAAATTTCGAATTTTTCATGGATTTTCCTGAAAGTGAACTTTTTAATGGTTTTTTCAAATGTGATATTTAAAATTCATTCAATTATGTATAAATAACCCTGTTCTATTAACATTTTATCGAAGGGCTGAGGGAGAGATAGAACTATAAAAAGACGATTGGTTGTTTAGAAGAAAGGGACAATAATAACAATGATCCTGATAATATTCAACAAAGTTAAAAATCCGACAAAATCAGTTGAAAAGAATACTTATTCAATTTAATAAAATGAAATAAACAATGAATGATAGATGACAGAAGGAATAATACAGTAGTGAAGCGGAAAACTGAGATAAGTCGATTTTGACGATTAGCCAATTTTTGCTGAATATCTCGGAATCTAAGAGAGATAGCAAAATTTTTCTCACGACTTTTTTTATAACGCTCTATTGGCTCTACAAAAAAGGGCATGACAAAAATCTTCCTATCTCTTTTAGATTCTGAGATATTCGTCAAAAACTAGCCAACAGTAAAAATCGACTTAACCCGGTTTACCGCTTCGCTACTGAATAATAACAATGATCCTGATAATATTCAACAAAGTTAACAAAGTTAAAACTCCGACAAAATCAGTTGAAAAGAATACTTATTCAATTTAATAAAATGAAATAAACAATGAATGATAGATGACAGAAGGAATAATACAGTAGTGAAGCGGAAAACTGAGATAAGTCGATTTTGACGATTAGCCAATTTTTGCTGAATATCTCGGAATCTAAGAGAGATAGCAAAATTTTTCTCACGACTTTTTTTATAACGCTCTATTGGCTCTACAAAAAAGGGCATGACAAAAATCTTCCTATCTCTTTTAGATTCTGAGATATTCGTCAAAAACTAGCCAACAGTAAAAATCGACTTAACCCGGTTTACCGCTTCGCTACTGAATAATAACAATGATCCTGATAATATTCAACAAAGTTAACAAAGTTAAAACTCCGACAAAATCAGTTGAAAAGAATACTTATTCAATTTAATAAAATGAAATAAACAATGAATGATAGATGACAGAAGGAAGTGATGTGCAAAATAACCATTCGGAAGCATATTGCTAATTTATTATCAAAAATAACTATACTATATTCAATACAAGAGCAATTTCCCCTTGTTTTATTGAATTTGAAAAAAGCCTTTATTTGCTTCTATTTAAATAATAGTACATTAGAGTACAAGGGCACAAACTTATTTATTTGATTCACATAAATCATTTTTCTGGGTGTGAGAAACCCAAGACCTCCCGAACTTCGCCATCGAAAACCCCCAGGATCATCGTAACCCGGCGAACCCTGAACCTAGAATCCATCCCCAGTAGAAAAAACCCCGTGAAAAAGCCGTATGCGCGAGGCCGGCAGGGATGACAGAGGGTTGAAGTTATGACGTCATACGGCAGAGGGTTGCCCGGGCAACGGTTGGCGTTGCGCGGCTGTGACGCATAGCGTCGCCACTGCCGCTCTGCCATTCCTCCCGTAAAAATCAATTTGAGTAGTCCGTTTGGGGTCTAGGTATAACGTCCGCGTTGCGTGGCTCGTACGGGCTGAGCCGCGCCGCCAAGACACAGAGGGGCTATAGGTGAAGTCGGGTGGGTATAACCCAACTCGTATACACGCTTGAGTTGAAAGCGCCGGGCCGCGCCACCTCTCTTCCCCCCTCTACCAAGTTTATTTCGTATGTCACGGGCTTGAATACATACTGAACCGAACATAACAGAGATACTACCAGTCGTGAGTTACCGTCCCGATCGAGCGGTAAAGCTCGAGCGGTTCGCGAATAATTTAAGCAAAACCCTTAACTCCCAAAGGAAAAAAAAAAGAAAATTTGAGTGAAAAAATAAATAAAATTCGTCCAAATTTTCCGAGTTCACCTCGAGTTTTGTCACCCCCTCAGAAGTAAAAATGAATGAGAATGGCCAGTGACGAAAGGTCCAGGGGCTCGTGAAGGGAGACAGAGAGAAAAAAGTATTAAAAAAAACGAAAGAGGGACATATACACTGGCAGAGACGCGGTCTGACGCGCGCGCTCGTTTGTCCACCTCTCTCTCTCGTCAGTGTGATTTGCCACGAGCGAGGGAAAGCATCGCGAGGCACCGAGCACAGCGGAGCCCGGCGAGACAGCTGAAAGCTCCTGAGAAACCTAACCCACCCAGCACAACTCAGCTGACCAAAATTCTTGACAATTCAAGTTTATTTTTTTTTATAAATAATTTTTAGTGGAACAGTCGGGGTCAAGGCCGCGTCCCAATCGCGCGTGAGGAGGTGTCATCGATGAAGGGACCCGCGGTGACTGTGACAAACGCCGATTTAACAAGTTGACAGCATTGAGAAGATGAAATAAACAAATTGTGATTTATTTACGTTACGTTGGACTGTCTAAATTTGGATTGGAACGGGCCAGCGCGAGTAGTGTCGAGCCCCGTGTGAGAGAAACAAGTGGTTAACAATGACTGAGAATCATCACAGTGTCCCAGGAACGTCGAGTGCCACTCAGGGCGGCCCTTCAGAAACAAATGATGTCAAACGTTAGCCGAGAGCAATCGTAATAACAGAAATAACTCAAAAAAAAAATCCCCACCACCACCAGAGCCCTTTTTTGGACCCTCGAGTCCCCCCAGATTGATGCCTTCATATCGCTAAAGCCACCAATGAACCCTCCGCCGATCCCCTCAAAACACAAAAGACTCATAACAAGTGAGTGATGACTTCTGAGCAGACGAGGTAGAAAGCTGGGGCTTTTAAAAAATTCCTGAAACTTACATACGTGAAAAAACGGGGGGAGGGAGGGAGGGCTATCGATGATGGTGGACGGCAGCGTGCCAAGACGGCATTTGTCCGGTCCCAGTTACTGTGGTGTGTACAAAGTTTATCTCATTCTCGAGGTCGTTGTTTCAGCCTCGTAAAAAACCACATAAACAAAGCAAATTAGAAACGTTTGAGGGGATTTTATTGTCCGTTATTCGGATAATGATTAACAATGTCATCGCCATTATCACTCGTAGTAGTTGTCGTTATCGGCTTTACTACGAGAGACAGCACGCAAGAACGAAGGACAAGGTGGAGAGCACGTGCTGCAGGCTCGAGCAAGACTCAGCAAATCGACAATTGATGAGTCAATACTGAAGCAAACAACTCCCGTTGATAATTGCCACAATTATAATTAGTATTGAATGAGAATAGTTGTGATGAGTAAGTGTACAACAGCACCAGTGCATAGGTAAAGTTGCCGAAGGATATAGATAAATTTGGAAGACAGATAATTAGAGAGATCAACAGAGGTATATCTTTGATCAATCGTTATTCCACCGTCAAACATGGCCTCGGTGGCAGCTTGGCTGCCGTTTGCACGGGCAGCGGCGATCGGTTGGGTGCCGATCGCCACTCATCCGTTACCACCACCGCCAATACCTAAAGATCGACGTAAAGCTGACGATGAGAAGCTCCAGATTAACGTCAGCGGTCGTCGCTTTGAAACTTGGAGGAACACGCTCGAGAAGTACCCCGATACACTGCTGGGCTCGAATGAACGTGAATTTTTTTACGACGAGGACAGCAAGGAGTACTTCTTCGATCGGGATCCAGACATATTTCGTCACATATTGAATTACTATAGGACCGGTAAACTCCATTATCCAAAGCACGAGTGTCTGACGAGTTATGACGAGGAGCTTGCATTTTTCGGAATTTTACCTGACGTTATTGGTGATTGTTGTTACGAGGATTATCGGGATAGAAAGAGGGAGAATGCTGAGAGGTTGATGGACGATAAATTGAGTGAAAATGGCGATCAGAATTTACAAAAATTGACCGATATGAGGGAAAAAATGTGGCGGGCATTTCAAAATCCTCATATATCAACAGCAGCACTTGTATTTTATTATGTAACTGGTTTCTTCATTGCTGTCAGTGTATTAGCTAATGTTGTGGAGACTGTACCGTGTGGCACACGTCCGGGAAGGGCTGGGACATTGTCGTGCGGAGAGAGATATAAAATTGTATTCTTCTGTCTTGATACCGCGTGTGTCATGATATTCACGGCTGAGTATTTGTTGCGACTTTTTGCTGCACCAAGTAGGTGTAAATTTGCCCGTTCAGTAATGTCAATAATTGATGTTGTTGCTATATTGCCGTATTACATTGGCCTTGGTATAACTGACAACGACGATGTGTCCGGGGCCTTTGTCACCCTCAGGGTCTTTCGTGTTTTCCGTATATTCAAGTTTTCGCGACACTCCCAGGGCTTGAGAATTCTCGGCTATACACTCAAGTCTTGTGCCTCGGAACTTGGATTTCTCGTTTTTTCATTGGCTATGGCGATTATTATATTTGCCACTGTCATGTTCTATGCTGAGAAGAATGTGGAGGGGACCAACTTTACGTCTATTCCGGCCGCTTTTTGGTACACCATCGTCACTATGACTACGCTGGGGTGAGTTGTACTTTTCATTTCATTTTTAGAGTGTTGATTGTAAGTGCTCTCGTAGAGTGGATAGTTTTAGAAGTACGTGAGCAATTGTTTAATGGTTTTTATTGCTTTTGCTTTGTACCCGGTGAAAAAAAGCATCGGGGAATTACTAAGCTTTCACGGTGAGATGGGTTCATTGCTTTATGACCGGTGAAATAACCCACTTTACCGGGTTCCGGAGTAATTTTCCTGGAGGACTTTTTTCTCTGTGTATGAGAATATTCATGTGCTTTTTATTCAGTTATTTTTAAGAGGTTTGGGGAATTGTATCTTTTGACAATTTTTTTGTTCGTGTACGTTTTGGGATATCTATAGAAGATTGGTGGAAGAAAATCTATTCTCTGTTCTGTTATGAAACCAGAATTCAGTAGCGAAGCGGTAAACCGGGTTAAGGCGATTTTTACTATTAGCCAGTTTTTTACGAATATCTCTGCATCTAAAAGAGATGGAAAAATTTTTCTTATCAACTTTTTTATAACCCTCAATTGACCCGACAAAAAAGTCATGAGAAAAATTTTGCTATCTCTTTTAGATTCCAAGATATTCATCAAAAACTGACCAAAAGTCAAAAGCGACTTAACCCGGTTTATCGCTTCGCTACTGAATTCCACTGGGGTTGAGTGGAAAGTCATGAATTTTTTGCACGATTTTACAAAAATATGTGGGGGGTGACGGAATTTGGAAAAACTAATGTGGATTATATCGCAAAAATTGTTGGGGAAGATAAGAAAAGAGTATTTTTTGTTTGTTTAAAGTGCGTAAATCTACAGAATTTATTTACACTATCAGTAATGTTCTGTTAACATAATCTAAAGATTCACAGTTTTTAGAATCATTGATTTTAGAAATTTAGGCTGCTATTTGCGATAAATTGCTGGACGGCTAAGGAAAATTCAAGTTTCGTGGTAGGAACTAAAGTAAAAGAATCACCTAAATGGGGATATGATGGCTTCTATACCTTTAAGAATGTTTTAATTAGCAGAAAAAAATTATTTGAAGTGAAAATAACAAAACAAAGAATAATTAAATTGAGAATAGTTGAATGCAGCCGAAGCCCGTAATTTCGGGACGACTGAGCCATTTTTTTTTTATTTATCAAATGTCGATCAATATAAAAAATAATTGATCACCATTATACATCTGTAGTATTATTACATACATACAAACGAACTTGTAATGAGCATGCGCTTTTATCAGAGTATCACCAAATATTGAATTTCAGAAATTCACACTCCAAATTGTGTTCTTGAAGCAATTGAATTGTAGTTATTATTAAAATCTTATTCAGTGAGCATAGGAATTAGAGCATGAGTAAATCATTTACTGTAACATGAAAATTTAACAGCTGATAAATCGGGACATATAATTCTCATCGGTTGTACTGCTTTTGCAATGAAAATTATTATAAACAATAAATTGAAAAAAGAAATATCGAATCTGACAGGGAAAAGGGCGTAAGGAAAAGGATCACCGTTAGTCAATGAAAATGTTGCGGTTCTTCCCTCAACGACTATTCCCATTTAATTACTAAATTGTATTATAGTTGGGAAATTCCCCATGTAAATTTGAAATTACACCGATTATTAATGCACGTAATTGCCCATTTACACAGATTAATTTACGCGCCGCGGTAACCAATATTAGCCACACAGCGTAATGAGTTTTGTGTCAAGCTGATGTCTACATGACGCCATTATTTGTTAATGTCAAGATAGACCGGCTATGAGCATAAATAAAAGCGAGTCAGCTATACGCCATCAAATACACGAAGCCTTTGTCGGGTTTTTCAGTGCCATGCCAGGCTGCAATGCAGAGCAGTTTGTCAGACGACACGTGTCCTGCATGGAAGCTTTTCGCAATAAGTTCTCAACTGAGATACGTACCTGACTTTTGGCTCTTTTCGTGATATAGTGGATGAGGATTTGCGTTATGATTCATTCAGTTATTCTCCAGAGTTAGACAGTAGAAAGTGGCAGGGAAGGAAAAAAAGTTGATACGTATTCTGGTGCTAACATCTCTGAGTATATCCTTGATGTTCGTGGGAGGAACTGTGAAAGTTTACTCGTGAAAGTTTTCTTTCATCAATTCTATTCTTCTGGGAGGGCAGGGCGAGAAATCTGTCGCTTTCCTTTGGCTCGGAAAAACGAAAATGTTTTAGTTGAAAAAACACAGGTTCGCAGTCTATTTTTATTCACGTTCGGAAAATCTATGTCAATGATTATTTTCGTTTAAGCATCACTCTTGACAATGACGTTAAATTTGTCGTTGCAACATTAGAATTTTGTAATTGTTTATTTGGAGTTTTGTAACTGTGGAGTGAAGTACTTCGTTTATTCTGTGGAAAACTTGACGATTTCGGTTTTTGATTGCGAATGGATATGACCCTAGTAGGTCAGACTTGCAATGAAATTATTGTAATGGATTGGTAAAACTATAATATTAATTTTCCTCACATTATGGGATATTTGATCTGGATGTATTGGAGTGGGCAATGTCACAAGACAGATTTTATCAAGAATTTAATAAAATACCCCCATTACCTTCAGATAGGTACAAAACAAACAATGAAAATTTAATTCCTCGTAAAACTTGTGATTCACCAAAATATTCGATACTAGGGGGCTATGCCCCCTGCTCGCTCAGCTCGCTAGCCCCGATGTGACCCCCATGGTCCTTATTCTGACCCTCATTATACTCCTCGTGACCCTTATTTTGACCCTTAATTTTGTGTACTAAATTTTCATCACCAGAAGTCGATTTAGATTTTTATAATATAGAAATGAAGAATATATAGAGACCTTTATTTTGTCGCTTATGACCCTCAGTTGCTAACCCTTGGTTTTTAAGCCCCATGACCCTTATTTGGACCTTTACTCTGACCCTTGTGGCCCTTAATATAATCCTTGTGACCCTTATTGATACGTTTAATCTGACCATTGTTAGCCTTAATTGTATCCATATGGCTCTTAATCTGACCCATCTGATCCTCATGACCTTTTTTCTGATTGTCATGACCCTCATTTTGACCTTCGTGACGTTAATCCTGATCCAAATGACTCTTATTTTGACCTTTGTTACCCTTATTTTCTGACCCTTGGTTTTTAACCCCCATGACCGTTATTTGGACCTTCACTCTGATCCTTGTGGCCCTTAATATAATCCTTGTGCCCCTCGTGACCCTTTATTCTGACCATTGTTACCCTTAATTGGATCTATATGGCCCTTAATCTGACCCATCTGACCCTTATGCTATCCCTCACGACCTTTCTTCTGACCGTCATGACCCTCATTTTGACCTTCGTGACCTTTATCCTGATCCACATGACTCTTATTTTGACCCCCGTGACCCTTATTTTGACCTTTGTCACCCTTATTTTTGACCCTTGATTTTAAACCCCATGACTCTTATTTGGACGTTTACTCTCATCTTTGTGGCCCTTAATACAATCCTTGCGACCATCCATCTGACCCTCATGACCTTTATTCTGACCGTTATGGTCCTTATTTTGACCCTCGCGACCTCTTCTGATCCACATGACTCTTATTTTGTCCCTTGTGACCCTTATTTTGACCCTCGTAACCTTTATTTTTGGACTCTTAATTAGGAGTACCAAATTTTCATCACCAGAAGTCGATTTGGATTGTTAGAATATAGAGAGAAAGCAGAATTTCCATCATGACTTGCAACTAACTCACATATTTAATAACAGGGACTGTCCCATTCATTTCTTCAATAGCAAAAAGAAACTTTGGACATGTAAAATTGGAGAAAAAGTGTCGGATGTCGTTAAATTCGCAGTTTTTTCTTCGTTTTGCAAATCGATACAACCAATTCTCTCCAATTTTCATCCCCTTTGAATCGCCCACGATTAAAGAGAATGGGATAGAAGCCTCCAATTATCCTTCATGCAGCGAATAATAATTTCTCCCCAAAACTCCGAGACTTTTCTCTCACTCAAGCGTGTCCAGTCAACGGGTTCTGTCGGTCACTCTTCCTTCAAACTTTAATCGGAGGATCAACAGGTGCTTCGGAGGTGCTTCCCGGAGCCAACTCCTTGTCTAGTTCTCTCTCTATTCTACGCCCATCCCCTACCTACCAACCTATGCCTCTCCCATTCTCCAACCCTTCTCCGATAGTACTTTGTCACGGGAAAGTATTTTTATTCCCCCAAAAAAACATGATACAATTTCGACACTCCGGGGAAACTTTGACTTTGAAGCGAATAGTGAGAAAATTTTCCGTTTAACAGTTCAGGTGAAGTTATTTTTGTTGACTCGTAATATTCACTTATAGAATAGTCGATAGGATTATTTCTGAGGTGACGTGGTGGCACGAATCTTACAGAATATCATACGTAAATATTTAGTTATTATTTGCAGAGAGGAAATTTTTCTGGTTTCCAATAGATTCCAGAAATAGATAGCTTTTACCTCCACGAGGAGAGAAGTTGGATAGAAATTACGTAGAAAATCGTGATAAATTTTAGAGAGATATGGGAAGAAATATATTTACACTAAAGGTTGTATATCTCAGGAACCGCTCGGCCGATTGCGTCCACCCAAAATACCAAATTTTAGTATTATAAGAGCTCTATATCAAATTTCAACTTGCAATCTCCTTTTTGCTTCCTAATGGAAGCCTTGCAATCGCTCAATTTTTACTTTTTCTAATTTTGCTTGGAAATGATGGAGAATGGTCTGAAATGAAAAAACACGAAGTTTGGGCACCCCGTGTGTCTATGGTTATTGGGTGGTCACTTTTTCGTAAATTACATGAATAACCGGCTAAAACACTTCCAAAAAATTTTAAATTTTGTCAGATATTTGGTATTGAATCGGACTACCTCTCTGTAAAATTTCAGCCCCACTGGTCCATTAGTTTTTGAGAAAAAGCAATTTGTTTTCGTTTGGTTTTTCGTGAATATCTAAATGTCTCAAAAAAATATCTAAAAACTATGCAACCG